AGGGTTGACTGTAACTAACATTTAAATAGTGCTTTAAGGGATTCAAAGAGCTTTACAAATGTTATCTTATTTGATCCTCACAATAACCCTGGGAAGTAAGTGCTATTATTGTCTCTATTTTATCGATGAGGAAACTGAGTTTCTGCCTCAGTCATGCCTTAGTGTTACCCTAGAAAAGTGATTTGCCCAGGGTCACAAGAGCCTGAGGCCAGATTTGAATTCAAGCCTTCTGGCTCCCTAGCTTTCTATCCACTGGGCCACCTAGTTATCTACCTAGAAAAAAAGAATTTTCCTGTCCATCATTGATAATTGGGGAAAGGAGAAAGTAAGAAGAGATAATGGAGGGGAGACTTTCCAAGTCAGCGAAAAGTCTAGGAAATCATCTATCAGTAATAAACAGACGTTACTGGTGTTCCTGCTTTTTTATTCTGATACCCAGAAAAATGCTACCAGTCCAATTCCAAGAACCTCTTGGTCCCAGTAGTAATAGGCAAAGATTCACTTCCTTGTGCCAACTGATAAAACATTCAGCTACCGTTAGAGTTAACTGGGTTTGGATTTGAGACATAACAAGATGAACTTAAATCTCCTTAGAAGTTGAAATTACTAGTCCACACACATTGCTTTCAACTGCTTTCATGTTCCTATTCCCTGCCCTCATTCTCTTCCTATCTTCCTTTTTCCCTGCCAAGCCAAGGGTCCCAAATCAGCCTTCTGTAAAGAGCTGAGACTTTCTGATCCATTCCTCCAGAATAAGATCTCCCTTACAATTTTACATGAACCCAGTGCTTAGTACTGGGAACATAGTAAATGCTTAATAAATGTTTGTTGATTGATTGATTGATTGAAGCATCCTTAGCAGGCCCACCTTCATTCATAAGTAGAGAAGGAGACAACCTATATATACTGCAAGTTCAGAGGTACCATTGAACCCACTCCTCCCCCAGCAAAAAAAAAACAAAACGCTCACTTTCTCCATCTTCTCCTTGAGGTCTGAAATTCCTCTAACAGAAAATTTCAGGAACTGCTTTCCATATTGCTGCTTTTTTTGCAGCTGTGCTTAAAAAAGAAATATCCAAGGGAGAAACATATTTACTTAAATTCACACTAACATGCAAATGTGGGTACATTTCCTCTCCCCAGGATCTTTATACCTCCCTTTTCGGCTCCCTTTTATGTACTGACTTCCTCCATTAGAGTGTACGCTCCCTGAGGGAAGGAACTGCCTTTCTTTTGCTTGTATTCCTACTCCCAGCACTTAGAATAGTGCCTGGCAATAAGCACTTAAATACTTTATCTGTCTAGCTAGCTAGCTAGTGATCCATTTAACAGTCTAACCCAGATGTCCTGCCTCTGCAGGATATGCCTCTGTGTACCCCTTTCCCTCTCCCATTTTCTATCTCTTGTTTTGAGAACAGTTATCAAACCATCCCGCCTACCATTGCCTCTGGAAAGGGAATGACTATGGATTGTGCCATGGCTCCACTCATTGTCCCTGTGACTTCTCAGTCAAAAACTTCCTTCCTTGGCCACCCGACAGCTTTATATTTATGTCATTCTCCTCTATTAGAATATGTGTTCACTGAAAGCAGGGATTATCTCACTTTTGTATTTGTTTCTCCAGAACCCAGTAGAGTACCTGGCACACAGTAGGTTTTTAATACATATCCTTTCTCATAACAATAATAAAGTAGCTACATAATAAACATTTGCTGAGTTAATGTTCAAAGAAGGAAAGGCATCCTGGGAAAGAGAAAACAAAAGAAGCTTGGGTTGGGTCTGGGACCAGTGCTGAATTTTTAAATGGAATGAAGCAGTGTTATGAGGGTCAACCTGTATTTCTTTTGGGTATCTTGGTTTGTCATGTTTTCAGGGGGACAAGAGCTAGGGCTATCATATACCAGTTTTAGGCAGGCCCTAAATTTTACAAACATCGCTTTCAGAAGAACAAGAGGGAAAAATCTGTTGGACATTTAAGATGCCAAATGGCTGTTCTCCATCATGGAGCCAACTTCTGCCCACTAAATTATTTTTAACAGGGTGTAATTATATGTAATTTTCTTCCCTGCCAAGTTGGATCAGTCATATGCTGACAGAGAGGCATCTTTCCAAATAGGTATCTGAGGGCAGGGTGAGAGGATGACAGGTTAGTGTTTGTGTGTCTTGTCAGTTTCTTCAATTATGTTGACATTACAGGTTATGGAATTAATTTTGATTAATTTCAAAATTAATTGATTCAAAATCGCTTTGCTTGCCTCCTGAAGTTTCGGAGCACAGTATTTAGGATTAATTCAATATAGATAATGAAATTAATGCAATAGTTGTTTTTTGGATTCTAGGGCCCCTTTCCTAGAGGCTGCTTAGCAGTGAAACCTTTCCCCTCATCCTTCTACCCCCAACCTTAAGCCTTAAGAATTAAATTATAAACATAAACACTATCAGGAGAATGATAGGTAGTCAAATATTGCTGCTTTCTTCAAAGACAGAAGAAGGAATCAAACAAAAACTCCCCACAACTACAAAGAGACAAGTTATTATAACAAAAACCCTGAGTGTTTTCACATGTGGGAAGCTTAAGCAGGGCTATGACATTCAGGAATCTTCTGCTTTCTGTGTTATGGGATACCACCCCTTTCTGATCTTGGACATCAATTTGTGTGCTGCATTTGGAACTGGCCCAAGCCATCACATTCTGCCCACTTGTTCCCAGGTGAGAAATAGATCCTAGGTGGGAGTCCTGATGATCTGTGAGTGAGCAGGAAGGAAGAGTCCTAAGAGCTTGCTAACTTAGTAACTGCTGATGAGTATTGACCTTAGACTAGAAGATTTCAAATAATATCTAAGAGTGCAGTTCTGAGGCTTCTTGTCTCTGCTCTTAATCACATTCAGGGAAGAAGGCATTTCCTTAATACAAACCCACCTACTAACCCACACCATTCCATTGCAACCATGTGATGCTAACTTCTGTGTATCATCTATATGACCTATATGTAATGATCTATAATCATTGTATGTTTGTCCTGTACTCCCTTGGCAGTATGGATCACTTTTCAGAATCATGTTTTTAAAGAATTGAAAGAAATGCTAAATTTAAGTTAGAAGTTAGAAAAAATAAAGATACATTTTTTCCTCAAGTTTAAAAATCCCTTCAGAGGGTCTTCGGACTCCAGCTTAAGAACCATTGATTTAGATGCAACAAAAACTAAAGTCTGGACAGGACAAATATATGTGTGTGTGTGTGTGTGTGTGTGTGTGTGTGTGTGTGTGTGTACATATATATATATATATATATATATAAAATATGTATATGTACATATTATACATATACATATAATTTCTAAATTAGGGGCTTCTGATTATTCCTATATTTAAATGTAAATCCTTCATTTTAAGTAGATATTTAGCTTTGATTGCGACCATGAATAAATTAAAATTTGTTTAAATTTCCACACAATTGAATTACAACTATTTGACTTTTGAAAAGACTAACTCAACTCAGCTAACATGTTTGTAGATGGTACCTGTACTCAACTGACAAATTATTATCCTTCCCAAAAGAAGGATAAATAGAACCTTAATTCACAAATTTACTCATTGTTATTCCTTGTAGCTGGTATTAACTGGTTAGCTCTTGTCTTTAGCTGTGCCATACATACAGGTATGACCTAAGAATTTAAAATTTGGAAGGGAACTTGTAGGATATCTAATCCAACTCCTGCCTTAAGTTTAAATATATCAATATGTATTCAATTTATTTACATATTCTAAGTTATTTATGAATTATTTAATGTAATCAACAGTTATTTATAACACCTATGTACCTATCATCTCACTCTACTACATTTGTCAGCTGCTTTTTAAAAAAATTATTTTTAATTTATGGAATAAAACAAGCATTTCCATAATACAGTACAATAAAAAGATGATTGTGTATGAAACTGTAAATCTACTATGTACAACTTGCTATTCCTTTCAAATATACAACAAAATTATCTTGCAAATTTCTTTTTTTTTCTCCCCCCCAGACGGCTATCATTAGACACAAAAAGGTATGTGTGTGTAAAATTATTCTATACATACTTCTATTTATCAGTTCTTTCTCTGCTGAGATCATATCAAACAAACCAGAACTATGTAAAACTATGTTTGTCATACCAAACAGTCCCCATGGAAGAAAATTCTCTGTAAATTTTTCTTGGTGATAATATTGGCAGACCTAATTGCTGGTCCTTTGAAAACTAAACAGAAGGTCCATCCAAAATGGACACTCCCATTCTGAAGGCAGATTCTCCCTAGCACACTCAGAAAAGAGTGTTCTGTTTCCTTTGAGCAGAGGGAAAAGAAGGAAGAAACTTTTTCCATGCCAGCTTTCATATACTCTGCTGGAGTCCTAGGTTCTCTGCCGGGATTTGCCTACCTAAAAGACATGTAGCAAATTGGCATCACAGGGCCTCAGGAACCATCCCTCCAATCCCAGGGATAATGACCACAGACAGCTAAACTTTCTTTTATGTTTTTTCTTTTTAGTATGACCTCCTTTAGAGCATGACTGTATTTTTTTTTTAAATTTATATCCCCAGAACTTGGGACAGTGCATAGCACATAGTAGGTGCTTAACAAATTTATTATTCATTCTTTCTTTCACAAACTGGAACTCACAAGAGCACATTAGCCATGTGGAAAGTCTCTTATAGATTCTCCTTGAGGGGTAGGATGGAAAGGAAGGTAAGGAAAGAAAAAAAGAGCAAAGAAGCATATGCCTTTTTCTCATTCTGTCTGCAACCTATATAAAGTGCTGCAGTTTTTCAGTGGGAGGTTGGAAAATCAAATAAAGCAAGGAAGTCTATTACTAGCACCCCAATTACTATTGATTACTACCTTATAATAGTAGGATAGTCACTACACAACTTCCTTTTCTAAAGTCATGTATGAGCTTGGGAGAAGGTAATCCAGGCCCACAGAAACACCCTACCCATGAGAAGATAGAGAGCAATAAATACCTTTGCACTCCGGTTTGTCTCCTGTCCAATTGCCATTGGGCTGACAGAGAAGACTACTGGGGCCAATCAGCTGGAAGCCAGGATTACAGGTGAAATGGACCTCGTGTTCCACTAAGTACTTGCTGCCAAACTTCCTCCCGTTGGGTGGAGCTTCCAACGCAGGGCAGGAGACTACAAAAGGAACAGAAATGAAATTACTTCAGTGATGATCTATGCCTCAAGAGAACGTGAGATAAGAGCAGACCTGAAATTAGTTCTATAGATTCAAAGAAGGAATGGGAAGGTGGAGTCCTCTCTGCAAATCTGGGGAAATTGATTTCCAAGTTAATCAGGCAAAATGCTTTTATGGCCTTTCTAAATTAAGAAGTCCCAGCTAAAAATCTCACCTTTCCCACCTCTCACTGGAGAAAGGTGAGATTTTAGGTGAGACCTGAAGGGAGCCAGGGAAGCCCACAGTCTGAGATGAGGACAGAGAGGATTTTAAGCATGGTAGGAAGCCAGTAAAAGTATCTCATTCAAGAAACAGCCAGGGGACCAATGTCACTGGATCACAGAGTACATGGGGGTGGGGAGCACGTAAGGTATAAGAAGAGTAGCAGGTTAGACTTTGAACACCAAGTGGAGGACTTTACATTTGATCCCGGAGGTGATAGAGAATCATTGGAGTTTATTGAGTAGGGAGTAGGAAGGAGGGGTCACATGGTCAGACCTGCCCTTAGGAAGTGCTCTTTGACAGCCAAGTGGACAAAGAGGCCACCGAGGCCAGCAACCTCAGCTGAGGCTCACAAAGGGTAAGTGACTTGTCAAAGACCACCCAGGAATTAAGCGTCAGAAGGAAGATTAAACTTGAGATTTCTGACTCTGGAACCAGAATTCTTCCCACTGGAGCATGCTGTCTCCTTTTCCACAGATTAGCATAGAGGTGCACCTGGGTGATTGAAATTTCTCTTTCGCCTTCTACAGTAAATGTTATTCTGCCTTCTCCTTTGTCTAATCAGTTCCTTTTAAATAAAATGTATCCTCGTTGGTGAATCACATCTCACTGAGTCTCAGTAATACTTCAGAGGTGGAATTTGTTTTCTTGAGTGGAGACATCTAGTTCAGTTTGTTAATTACTTATATGCTGTACATTGGTGAACAGGTGTCTCCTGTGAATTATTGGGTCTTCTCCACTGATATTTTTCCTATCTTATTTCCTACACTCTCTGATATCTGGCATTGCAGATTTATGTGAATAGTTTTCTCCTTCCCCTTCTATTTTTAATTTAAAGCCTTTTTGATCAGAATCATGTCACTGGGTAAATATATTCTTCCTAGCCTTTACCTTATCCCTAGCCAAGAGTCCATCACTACTGTATCTGGCCCAGGAATCTAAACCCTTTTCTCACATGCAATCTTTTTAACAATTGTCTTCCTTTCCCACATCCCTTTATCTTTTGAGACTCCTATAGTACCTTCAAACTGGCAGCCCCATCGTAAACATCACCTACATTCCAAAGGTCTTCAGTTTTTTGCCCAGGATTTTATATTCTCTAGAGATCCTAGTTGAGCTGACAGAGAAGACTACTGGGGCCAATCAGCTGGTTCCTTTCTGCTAGTATCACTTGCCCTGGGAAAATCCCCAAAAGTGAGTATTAATACTCAAATTTGGCAATCATGCAGTAGGCTCACAAGATCACATATCTAGAAATGAAAGAAACTTCAGAAGTCAGTTGGTAAAAACCCCTTCATTCTATAAATGAAGAAACTGAGGATTGTGGCAGCTAAGTGACTTGCCCAAGGTCACATACAAAGTCTTGGGAAGGTTTTCATTATAACATAGAAACAGATCCCAGGAAATGTACCTCTCCTCATTGCTCATGTCATATGACAATGTCAACAGCCCTTAGCAAGGAGTTACCAACCATCATGACTTATCTCTTTTTCCTTTGACCAGTGGAAGATACTGTCTCCAAGATGAACCTGTGCATAATCCTCATCATTTTGTGGAGCAAGGGAAAATGCTTCCTTATTAGAAAATCTATATCCATTCTCTTTGGGGATGATCCAGACAATTCTATAGTTCTGATGGTTTGGTGGCCTTTCCTTTTTTTCTGTGTCCCATTTTTCTTTTTTTTTAAATTTTAATTAATTAATTAATTTTTAGTTTTCAACATTCACTTTTATAAGATTTTGAGTTCCAAATTTTCCACCTCCCTCCCTTCTCCCCTCTTCAAGACAGCATGCAATCTGACATAGGCTGTACATGTATATTCATATTAAACATATTTCCTTATTAGTCATGTTGTGAAAGCAGAATCAAAACAAAAGTGAAAAACCACAAGAAAGAAAAAACAAAAGAAGAGAGAGAAAATAGTATACTTCAATCTACAGTCAGACTCCATAGTTCTTTCTCTGCATGTGAATAGATTTTTCCATCATGTGTCATTTGGAATTGTCTTAGAAGACAATGCTAAGAAGAGCTAAGTCTATCAGAGCTGGTCGTCACTTAGTGTTGCTGTTACCATGTACAATGTTCTCCTGGTTCTGCTCACTTCACTCAGTATCAGTTGATTCAAGTCCAGGCTTTTCTGAAGTCAGCCTGCTCATCATTTCTTATGGAACAATAGCATTCCATTACATTCATATACTACAGCTTGTTCAGCCATTCCCTAATGGATGACCATAGTCTTGTGTTCCATTTTTCTGCCTTCTGACCTCCTCGTGTAGGTCTAGATTACCCTGTGATCCTTGGATTCTTTAGTCTTCTTGCTTTCCTCTTTCTGTACTGTGACTTCTATTCTTTTCAGGAACACTTCATTTTCCCTGATTAGCTGTAGTACTCTGTGGGATACTTTAGAGCAGTGGTATCAAACTCAAATAGAAATGGGGGGACACTAAACCATGCATAAGTATCCCTGCAGGCCAAATATTGACTTAGTTTTAAAATGTAATATTATCTCTGTTTGATTGTATTTTTTATTCATATTGTTAAATATTTCCCAATTACATTTTAATCTGGCTCAGGCCTTACTTGGAAGTGCTGTGGGCCACAGGTAGCCTTCAGGCCGTGTATTTGCTATCTCTGCTTGCAAGGCTTTCTTCTAGCACTTTTCCCTGTTGCTCTAACAGGGAGGCTAACGTGGATTTTCTACAGATGCACTTGTTATTTGGCACTGGAAAAAGCACAAATATAGCATAATCTCTGGCCTTCAATGGCATGCTCTCTTTCAAAGCTTGTATAGTTGGGATGAGGGAGATTTTTATTATACTGGACTTTCCTGCCTATTACTAGTTATTTGGCTTCTCAAATCCTTAATTTGTATAGTACTGCCTAAGTCATAACACAAGTAATAAGTGCCCCTTGCTGTTATCTTTGGGAACATCTTCTAGAGAAATTCTGCTTTCGTCTACATTTATATCAGACATTGTCTCCATTTTACCTCTCAGTTGGCCATTATCTTGGAAAAGAGGCCCCAAGGATGATTTTTTCAATAAAATTTCACTTCTTCCTTTTTTGTTTGGACGGGAGGTAGAAGCAGAGTCAAGTGACTTGCCCAGGGTCACACTGCTAGTAAGTACCTACAGGCTGGATTTGAACTCAGGTCCTCCTGATTCCAGGGCCAGTGCTCTAGCCACTGCACCATCTAGCTGCCCCAAATTTCACTTATTTCTGAAAGATTCCTAGCTTCATAAGTGCACAGTTAATACTCTGTTATTTGATAATTGAACTCTGGAGGAGTGAAGGAGTGATCTGAGTGATAGAAGTTGAAAAACCACTAGGACACTAGAAATTACTTTCTTTTCCCCAAAGGGAAAAACAGCAAATGAAACATTGACATACATTTTAAAATATAGCATCATCGAGAGTGGATCCCCTCTGGCATTCTGTGGCCGACAGCAAAGCAGAGAGCTGAAAGCTGATCCGTGTAATCTGGACAATCCCAGAGATAATTTGGGTATGGGGAATTTCTAATCTCTTCAGTAAAGACTGAGGCAAAGAATTCAGTCAGTATATCGGTCAGCTTCTGTGAGATTATTTTCCATCTGCTCTGTCTATTCCTTATATGCATATAGTTCGCATGTTGTCTCCCCTGTTAGAATGTGAACTCCCTGAGTCCAGGGACCATCCTTTGGCCTTTCTTTTTGTCCCCAGCTCTTAATACAGTTCCTGCTACATAGTAAGCACTTAATATATGTCTATTGATTGACTGAATTACTAAGCCCATTCAAATGGTTGTATTTTTGACCTAGACAATCCAATTGGCTGGTCTGCATAGCTCCAGTTCACCAGCTCATCATTCTATCTTGTCAAAAGTTTTGGCTCTGAGTCTAGCCCCATCTCAGTCATAAAATCCATGACTGGAATGGACAGTAAAGACCGCCATGTTTGAACTGTGCAGTGTACATCCAGAAAAATAACAACAACAACAAAAAATCCTTGATTCCATGAGGTTGGACAACATGAACACATTTTCCCATGATGTTTTAGAGATTCCAATGTTGGAATGCCAGAGCAAACAGATACCAGTTCCACAGCTTCTGAACATTCACACTTGTAGCCATTTGGGGGCTTCATTGTATTTTTCATGATACCCAAAGACAAAAGTACCTGCTCAGGGGACTTTGCTTATATTTGCTTACAATTAGAGCCAAGAGTCAATTTCACCTTTGCCAATCACACAATTATGAGGGCACACAATAGCTCTATTCTCCAACATTTCTGTTTTTGAAAGGAAAAGAACTTAGTCTTGTCAAGGTCTCTAAAGCTCAGATCACTTGCCTCTCTCCGGTCACTATGACATCAGTAAGATAACTTTTTTCAGTTTAGGGAAAAAAGCCTGTTTAAAAAAAAAATTAATTGATTTTAAAAGCTCATCACAGGGATGAGTCAATTCCTCAGAGGGGAAAATGCAGCATAATGTACCAGCACCTGCTCATAATTGTGCCAAAGGAAAAAGTGTCCTGTTGGCTTGTCTATGCTATGGGCACAGACTCCACAATGTATCACTGCTCACAAAGGGCCAAGGGGAAGGGTGGGAATGGAGCTGTGACAATTCAACCACAATACTGGGGAAAAAAGGAACTTGGAAAATGGTGCCATCCTCATATCCAAAGGGTCATCTCTTCCCAGGATTATTCCCATCCTTGGCCATAGCCCATGATGCTGTCATCATGACAACAGGTGATTGAGTTCAAAGGAATTACTAAAATGGGAAGTTAGTCCATTAGTCACAGGACCATTGGATCATCAGATAATAGGAATTAGAACTACAAGAGACCTTCAAGATCATTTCATCTAGATGCCTCCCATTTTACAGATTATCATGATTTTTCAAAGCACCCACTATGTCAAGGCCTACACTAAAATCCTCCTCTAGAGTCTCAACATGGTGTGGGGACCCTAAGATTCTGTCAGCTATACCAACAGAGCTCAAGCTCTAGAAGGTCCAAACAGGCCTTCTGTTAGGAAACTCAGCCCTGGGGACAGACTATATTGTCACACAAGTATAATTCCTGTTTTGAATGCTTATCTCACCGAGATTAGAGATTCAATTACTGTCTCTTTAGGAGTATTGAAGTCATGTGAATCATTGCAAGAAAAGTAGTTTGTGCTCATGGTCTCAAAGTGACAGGTGAGTAGATAACTCAATGGAATCAAGGAGAAAGTTGTGTTTGATCTGTGATGCATGAGGATCTGTGAGGTATCTGTGAAGGAGACAGACAGGAAGGAGGTGAGGAGAAATGTCCTTCTTATTGAAACTATTTTAACTGGTATTATTAAAAAATTATAAAGAGGAGTCTATGAAGACTCTGAGGAAGTGACAAATACAACACATTTTAAAAGATTATTTTCTATGATTACTGAAGAGAAGATGAAGGGAAAAAAAGACTGATCTTTAATAGAAATACTGAGATTCTTTAGAGACTTTTATTAGCGTCAGTTAATGAATGAAATTAAACTAAATTTCCAGATACGTCCACTACTGTTATATTGAAGGCATGACTCTGACTGTGACATTGGTCATCACCAAAAACTGCAAATAGTTATATATTCCTTTATGCTTGTTATTGCTTTTACCCATTTATAAATTTTCTATATTCAGTCATTGCAATATTTATTCAATTATAGACAAGCATTGGGAAAGAAATTTTCTTCATTTTATTAAATAACTAATATTTAATTAGTTGAGCTGATTAACTGATGAAAGAAAAAAAATTGTAAGATTACTAAGAAGAAATTAATTCTCACAACAGACACCAATTAGGGGACTTGAGAAGATAAATTAAACTATATAATTATGAGTCAAGTGGCAGGATGAGGTTGAGTATGGTCATACCCCAGATCCTATTTAACCCTGCTATGTATAAAGTGAAGTACATTGCTCTTACATGCCTGCTATACAAGGACCAGCTCTAGTTAAGTGCACAGAGGCTGATCATGGGAAGTCTAGCCTAAGGGAGATGATCTTTTTTCAGCCATGTCATTTCATGAACATGGAGAGCTTGTGATCTCTGAGTTGGAGGGAGTTCCAACAACAAGGTGAAGACCTTTGTAGTATAATTATGTGCAGGGGACTTCCACAGTTCCAAGGTATTATTATTATTATACCAATATAATATAATATATTAATATAAAATCTATAATAATATAATATTAATATTCTAACATTAACAATATAACATAATAATATAACATTAACAATAACAGGTAACATTTATATAGTACCTACTATGTGCCAGGCACTGTGCTAATTTCTTTATAAATATTATTTCACTTGACCCTCACCACAACTCTGGGAGATAGCTGCTATTATTATCCCCATTTTACAGTTAAGGAAACTGAGACAAACAGAGGTTAAATGACTTGACTATGGTCACATAGCCAGTAAGTGTCAAAGGATTGGAGATCATCTAGTCCAACCGCCATATATGGATAGAGATAATAAGGTCCAGAGAGGGTAAGTTAGTAATTGGCAGACCAAGAATTTAAAACCAGGACTTTTGACTTTTCCGCTATACCATGCTGTCTATGGCATGGAATCTGTGATAATAGAAACAGGACACTTCCAGATGCCAGAGTTTTTTCCTTTCCTATTTCCTACATCTTATTCACTTGTATTTGCTATATCAGCCAAGAATCTAGATCAGAAGTTGGTAAATTCAAGGGCCAAATCTATCCTGCCACCTCTTTTTGTACAGTCCATGATCTAAGAATAGTTTTTACCTTTTAAAATAAACTTTTATTGTATTTATTGTGTCATATTTTGTCTCATTTTACAGATAAGAAAACTGAGGTCAACAGAAGTTAAGTGACATGCTGAAAGGAACACAAGTAGTAAGAGAGCCAAAATTTAAACCCAAGTGTTTTCTTTATTATATTATTTCTTCTTAAAGAGTTAAAAGTCTATGAAAATATAATAACAACAATAATCATTGTAACATATTGGCATAGTAATTTAAGGTTTACAAAGCACTTTTTCTCATAACATCCCTGAAAAACAAGCAAAATGGATCTTATATTGTGCCTATTTTACAGATAGGGAAACTGAGGCACAGATTTTTTTTTCTTTCAATAAATATCACCTAGCTAGAAAAGAGTAAAGCCTGGATTTGAACCCAGGTCTTTCTATATTAAGATCCATCGATCTTTCTACTACACCAGAGCTATTTGGCAACATCTTAAAAATTGGGTCAATGTAATCAAGAACCACATAGGTTGCCTTGGGAAAGAAAAACAAATTTAAAGTTACCATAGTACTTAGAAAAAGCCACAGATGCTAGCATCACTGCTTTGTAGCACCTGGTTGCTGGTTTGCCATCTTACCTGCTGGAACATCTGGAACAGCTTTGTTCACAGAATTCTGGAGCATGGTCAGCCGGTTCTTCATGTTGCGAATCCCTTCTGTAAAGCGAGTCTCTTGGCCCTTTAACAACTGCTGCATTTGACGGATAGCAGATAGGAGCTGCTGTTTATTGAGACAGTTCTGCAGAAGAAAAAAAACCAAGCATTTGGGTCAGTCCAATAGCCATATGATATGTTTCTGTTTGTGAGTATCCTCTCAATGATCCAGCCAATACATATATACACACACATACATATTTGTAGCCAGTATAAACCCAAACTCCATTGGCCATAGCTCCTGGAGGTTTAATGATACTTACATGCACCTGTCTTCCCTTCACACTGCTTCTGCTGGTTCCAGTGTCTGTCAGAACAGGTCACTAAACCATCATACTTTGTGTAAATGTCTCACCTCCAATTAATCTTTCCAAGAAAAAAAAATTACCCATCTTGGGAAAGGAAATAAACAAAGCTGGTCATACAATGTTATTTGGTAATTGGGAATCTTTTTGGATCAAAGGTAATCAAACTTTCACATGTCAATGACACCACATTCTTTCTTTCAGCCTACCCTAATACTCTGAAAACTGGACTTCAGATGAGCTTTTTCTTTCTTTTCATTCTGGATATATAAAATGGTAGATTTTTTTTTTCTGTTTGCCCTAAAGTGGGATGGAGAGAAGATGAGGTGCTTATGGCCAACCCAGCCTGCCAGGTAGCAATTTGGCATTGCCTTAAAGCATATCACCCAAAAGTATTGATGTACTGGCAAATAATTAACAATGGACTGGTGGGGGAGTAAAGTATGCAGGACATATGTCTAAGTTTAATCTGCAATAATCGCATTTTCTCTGTCACTTTCTTAAGTCTAAACAATCAACAAAACATTAAATCAAGTCTTATCCAATTTCCAAAGTGTAAATTCTTACACTGAACATTTAACAATCAGCTCTAGGGAGTTAGAATGAACTGGCTCCAGCACATTCCTGTCACAAACTTGATTTAGCTGGTGATTTTCCCAAAGCCAAAGCCCTAGCATCAAGACAGTCTCCTAGACTATAAGCTCCACAGTCCCATTCCACATAAATAAATATTGGATCTTTCCCAGATCTAAGGTCAATGCTCTACACACAGTAGTTGTTTAATAAATGTTTGTTGTATTATACTTACCTTATTTGTTATATTGTATTATATTGGTAGGCTCATTAGTCCAGGATCCTCACCTTAAAATAGTCTTAATATCGAGCATAATTTTAGACCATCCTCAATCATATTTTACAAATTTATTCTAAGTGAGCATTGTCCTTGACTGCCATATTTCTCCACTGGGCAAATAGAATAAGTACTTCCTTACCCAGCACTTAGCACAGTGCCTGGAACAGTAGGTACTTCATAAATGTTTCTTTACTAAAATGGTTTCTTATATCTTCCTCATGGCAGTGACTATTTCTGCTACTTAATCTGTAAAAAATTATGTTAAAGTAAACATCTTTACATTTATAGATTTTCCCATTATTCATTATCAATAGCTTATTTAAAGGGGTCAGATTGAATTTGCTGAATTACTATTATTTATTATTATTATTATTTATCATCATAATCATTATTATCCTTTTCTCTTTCCAAGTTATACTCAATGGAATAAAAATAGAAATGGTCCAGGGACAAGTCACCATCCTACTATTATCCTTTATGTTTAACACTCAGTGTCACCTCACAAAACAATAAAAATCATTAGGGGTACAAAGGATGAGCCTACCCCAAACTTGACATGAAGCTCAGTTAAACCATTTCAAACCAATTTAAAAAACTGTAAGGAAGTCCACGAATGAACAGAAAATGTAAGCGATTTGTCCATATGTTCACAGCAAACTATTCTCATCTTTGAAGATATTATTTGTGCTTGAAGGACTATAAAAGTAAGTAGAAATAACACTTAAGAAGATGAAGACTGTAATAGTAGCTCAATTTTACATAACGCTTTAAGGCCTGCAAAACACTTTATATACATGAGCTCGTTTGATCTTCACAGCAGCCTTGGGAGGTGGGTGTTATTATTGACCCCATTTTAATGGATAAGAATATGGAGGCTCAGTGTGATCATATGACCTGTCCAATATAGAGAGAATGTCTAGTGTGGGATTTAAGTCTATGTCCTCCTGACTTTAAAGAGCACACTATCCTATATAGCATGACGCCTCTTTGATGAAGAGTAGCTAGATTGGAATATGGAAGAATTCTGTACTAGCGGTAACATAATTTTGAAATCACTAAGGGGACAAGCTCTGAAAGAAAGAGGAAGGAGAACGATGGCAGGGGAGAGAGCTAAGGTGGGGGGACGGAAGAGAGGGAAAGAGAGAGAGAGAGGGAGAGGGACAAAGAGACAGAGACAAGGAGGAAGAGGGATAGAGAGGGAAGGAGAGAGAGAGGAAAAAAGTGAGATCTTACATGCACCTAGTTATTTACATGTTGTCTCCTCCATTAGTTATTCAGTCAGTCAACAAGTATTTATTAAGCACTTCTTATTTTCCAGGCAGTGTGTTAAATGCTGGGGATACAAAGAAAGGTAAAAAAAAGTAGCCCCTACCCTCAAGGAGTTCATATTCTAAAGGCAGATACAATAGGTAAGTAATCAGGTACAGAGATGGATGATAATATGGGAGAAGGCAGTAGTAGCAAGGCGGGCTAGAAGAAGTAGGATTGTAGCTGAGTGTTGAGGGAAGCCAAGGAAATGAAAAGGTAGAGGTGAAGAGGGAATGAATTCTAGGAATGGGGAACAGCCACGAGGCAGAGTATCATGTTTGAGGATTAGCAAGTGGCCAGCACAGCAGAATCATGGAGTACAGAGTGCAATAAAGTGTAAGAAGATTGAGAAAGTAGGAAGGGGTCAGGTTACAAAGACTTTAAATGACTTAAGAGGATTTTATACTTGATCTTTCCAGTAATAGGGAACACCTGGAGCTCATTGATCAAGGGAGTGATATAGATAGATCTATTTTTTTTTCTTTAAGAAAAATCGCCTTGACAGGTGAGTGAAGGATGGATTGGCCTGAGGAGAGACTTGAAGTCAGGAGACGAGCTAGAATGCTCTTACAGTAGTATAGGCAAGGGCCTGAACTAGGGTGACAGCTTTAAGAACATTAATAAAGGAATAAAGAAGTGATTTTATTAAGGTAGAAATTTCAAGATTTGGCCAGAGATTGGATATGTGGTGTGACTTCATTGTGAATTGAGAATAACCCAGAGACTGTGAGCTGGAGTGACTTGGGAGTATAGCAGTGCTCTCAATCATAATAGAGAAGTTCAGAATTAGGAGCAGGTTGGGAGGGAAAGCCATTAAGATCTGTTTCAGATATGTTAAATTTGAGATGCCTATAAAACATTGGTTCAAAGTGCCGAAAAGGTGTTATGCAAGACTACAGCTCAGGATTCATACATCTGTGAGGCATATTTAGAGGAATGATAGTTGAACCAATGGGAACTGACGAAATTACCAAGTGAGATAATAGAGAAAGGGGAAGAAAACTCAGGACAGAGCATAGGGGGATACCCATAGTTAATGAGCAGAACATGGAAAAGGAACCAGCAAAGAAGACTGAAAGAGACCTGTCAGACAGATAGGAGAACCAAGAGAAAGTGTCACAAAAACTCTAGAGAAGAGAGAGTATCCAGGAGAAGCAGGTGATCAGTACTGTCATTGGCTGCAGAGAGGTCAAGAAGAATGAGGACTGAGAAAAAAGCCATTATATTTGGCTACTAAGAAGCCACTGGTAACTTCGGAGAGAGCAGTTTCAATTGACCGATGAGGTTGGAAGCCAGGTCAAAGAGGGTTTAGAAAAGAGTGAGAGGAGAGGAAGAGGAAGCACCAAGTGTAGATGGATTTCTCAAGTTGTTTAGTCACAAAGAGGAGAGATAGAGGACAATGTCTTGCAGGGAGAAAAGGCTTTTTAAGGATGGAAGGGATATAGGCAAGCTTATCGGCAGTAGGGAAAGAGTGAAGATAAGAGAGAGTGGGGATGAGAGAGGGGGCAATCTGCTGAAGAAGACTGGAGAAGATGGGACCAAAGGTAAATGAAGGAGGGCAGGGACTAATTTTGTCTTCTTTTTGTATCCCTAGCACTTAGTGCTAGGTATATAACAAGCACTTAATAAGTACTTGTTGAATTGATTTTCTATCTATTTCTATTCAATTTCATCCTTTTAGATTTACAGGAGGCATCATGATATATTGAATTTACAATCAGAAGACCTGGATTCAAATCTCATGTCTGCCACTTCACTAGAAATTTGACCTTGGCAAATTATTTAACCTCTCTAGGCCTCAGTTACATCATTCATGAAATAAAGGAATTGGATTAGATGGTTTCTAGTTTGCTATGATCTTTTTTGGAGCTTGATTCTCTTACCCAGTGTGTTGGCTCTCCTTCCTAGCTCATTGTCACCTGCAGGTTTAATAAGGATACTACCTATACCCCTATCCAAATAATTGATATGGATGTTGACCAGCACCAGGTCAATAATCACAGATCTTTGCTATTCTCAGCTTTAGACTTCCTTCTAAGTTGGCATTGAAGCCATTAATAACAAATCTTTGGATCTGACCATTCAACATGTTTCCAGAACCACCTAACTAATGTCATCTATTCCCCATTTCTCTATCTTGTCCTAAAAGAGCAGCATAACACACTTTCTTAAGTGTTTTGCTAAAATCCAGGTAAATCACATCTGTAAGCATTCCCCTGAACTAGTAATTCTGTCAAAAAAAGGAAATGAAGTGAGTCTGGCTTGACCAACTCTTGATGAAGCCAGGCTACCTCTTTGTGATCACCATTTCCCCTTCCAGATGTTTACTAACTATTCACATAATAATTCTAGAATTTTGCCAGATATTGACAAAGTCACTGGCTTATAGTGCTCAGACTTCTTTTCATGAAAATCAGGACAATATTTGCCTTTCTCCACTCCTGTCACATCTCTCCACAATCTTGCAAAGATCATAAGGTCAGATTTAGTTGGAGGGGACCTTAAAGGCCATCAAGTCCAATCCCTTTCATTTTACAGATGAGGAAACTGAGGTACAGATAAGTTAAGTGACAGCTAGTAAGTATCTGAAGTGCTATTAGAATTCAGGCTTTGCTGACT